GGGTCAATGCTTAATTCAAAAAGGATAGTAAAAAATTCAGGCGCAATTATATAAAAAAAACTTCTTGAACTCTAAAATAATTAGAAATAATTATTTCAGCTACTGAATGAATTGATAAATTGGATTATAATGTCTTGTTATTTATGATTTTATTTAACAATATCATGCTCATATAAATCAACCAATAAAACTATTCCCTTTTTATTGGAAGCTATAAAAATACAATTTATTGCATCTAAAACCAATAAAAACTAATCAAATTATTATGCCGCTTTTAACTTTGCAACTCTCCATTCAACGCAACAATAATTGCCTCTTTTTCTTTCACCAGTTGAACTGCGTCATTTTTTCTCGCTCTCTCTCGTGGTTTCTTATTTTTTGCATAATATGAAAATAACAGTTCGCCCTCGAAACCGAATGCCGGCGACGAGTTTGATATTTCTGCGAACGCAATACGCGCGCGATCGCAAGTCAATTTACCGGGCAAGGACATACAAAAGAAGATGCGATGAACAAAGCGAGTGAGGAAAAAAGAAGGGCCATTCATTGCATGCGCGTCTCTCTCGCGCTTAAAAATTGGCTCACAACAAAATGAACAGTTGACTTTCGAGAAACGAGAGCCCGGCTGGCCTTGCCGAGGAATGCAGTTGGGCCAGACGGTCGCGCAGCCGCCGCCGCCGCACCGTCGGCCACGAAACCTCCAACCAAGAAGTCCACCCACCACGAACCGCTGCGTGGCCTCTGACCCCGCGTGCGTGATCCACAAACCCGAAAGCAGATCACTCTCCTCATGCTAATGGAGCAGCTGCGGATCCAAATGATAGAGATGCCCCAATTTCGCTTCTAGCTTCTCCTCATCGCATGCACGCAAATCGGCCAATTTCATTTTGTGTTAAGTGCGGCATGGATTTTATTTCACCGCGCGGCCGATAAAATTTGACATGCACGTCTCAAAGATAAAAATTCTCCTTTTAAATTGCATATCTTCATTGACACATGTGTCATTAGTCATTAGGCAATTATTGGCTTAATATATCACAAATAATACATTACAAAATTATACAATAAACAAGGAAGGGAAACAAAATTTTGAAGAAATCATCGCCTATTTTAGTTGAGTGAGCATTTATTTTTTTAATTTGAATCTGTATGATGAAAAAATTTGAATTTCGCGAAAGTTAATCAATTGAAAAATAAAAAATTTATGGTGTCATAAACAAGTGGAGAAGTAAAAGTTGGGTCTGCAAGATAAAAAAAAAATCCTCTTTAGAAAGAAAAATGGAGTTTTTGTTATACTGTAGATTTAAAAGCAGTTTAATTTAAACACAAAAGTTCTCAGTACGGCAGAAATTGTTTAAAACTGACAAAAATGTTTTTTGAAAACTGAATTTTATTCTTCCAGCCTTCGAATATGATATGATAATTGATTTTATTACACTCTTTTTTAAACTTTTCATTAGCATAGTCGAAACAAGTCTTCTCAACTGGAAACCTTTTAAAATTTAAAAAGAGTAAATTTAAGAAGCCTATTATACTCCGAATATTGCAGAAAATAGCCTGATTTGATTTTATCAGACAATCTTCCCTCATATGAGGGAAGAATCCATTACAATAAAGAGCCAAAATTAACTTAAAAAGTAAAATCTATGCTTTTTTCAAGACAAACACTAAAATGCGGCACTGATTTCTAATTATGTGAATAACCTTTTTCCAAAGTAAATTACGTAATTAACAAGTGCCGCCAAAATATCCAAAATTCAATTGATTTTTGAAAAATTGCGCGTTTTAAAATAGTTACATAATTTAAACTCGTCAGTCATTTTTCAGCCAAAATTTGCTTATTTTTCCCCGTTGTTGTTGTTGCTCCCTTACAAAATCAATATTATGCTAACGGAGCATAATGAAAATGAGATGCTGTGCCCTAATTTCGCTCCTTCTCTCCTGCAAATCGCTGAAATTTCATATAGCGCGTGAAATTCCATCCACCACGCCGGCAAATTCTATTAAAGAACGGTGCTTTCGAAATTTAATATCGCATCTATAAAATCTCGGCTACCGGCGTGCCAACTTTATTCTTGTGTACGCGTAAATCATGCGGAGATAAACACATCATCATTCTCAACAATAATAGAGAGAAGACGTTTCACCGGCGGCGATTTGGAAAACGAATTAATTCGCACTCAACATGCTGCTTGTGGATATCTTATCACACAAGTTATAAATAATTCAATTCTATGACTCCAATGTGTTTTCTGCACATGTACTCTGTGCTGGTTATAGAGCTGTGAAAAGGAAAACATTCCTCCAGAGTTCAACCGGTGTCGCACCTTGATCAATTTGTTCAAGCAAATCATTGAGGGTCATCTTAAGCTACTCCAAAAGACCGCTTTGCCAAATAAACATCGCTTATTATATAAAAGTTGTAGTGTCAGTTTTAAATTAAATAAAATAATTATTTTTACAGGTTAAAGATTCTAATTTTTTCTAATAATTAGAATCCGCGACATTCTTCAGAATTTTTCAGTCGAACATCGAATTTTGCTTACAAAACATTTATTGATTTTGAAAATGGAATCAAAAAATTTTAATATTATATATTTTATTAAATTTATTGAGATTTTATTACTTTGTTTTTAAAGTAAAATACATTAATTTTTATTAAATGTCTCGTCTGTTATTATTTTACAATAATTCCAACTTACTTATTTATTTGTTTTTTTATGTACCTTTTAAAACTTCAGAGCTATTGGAAAAAGTTTCATCAACTAGATTGAAATAAAAAACTCTTAAAAACATCATTTTTTTCATTTTTAAATATTATACAAATATGCATAGCACTTCTATAACAGACTAGTTTGACAAATTTAGCTCTTATCAGTGTATAATCCTGACTATAAAGTCTTGAAAGCTTCTTCATCTTACTTTATTTGACGAGACAGAGTTTTTGCATTACGTACAATTACATGAATGTTCCATGCATAAATTATTTTAATGCGCGCGAAATTTTATTTTCTCAGCTTCGCCCTCAGCATTTTAACCTCTTTGGCCTGCAAACGTGACTGGACCGTCAGCTCTGTCAACTGCAAAAATATAAAAAGGAATTAATGTGAAAGTCTCGCGCTGTGGCCGCCCGACAATGTACACCATTTACATCTGAAATGAGGTTGTGTCTCTCAACTTAGAGATATTTTCTTTAAAGAATTTACTAATGGACAAACGAGACTGTCTGCTGCTGCGGGAGGAATGTTTTAAGGAGCTTTACGTCCATCAAAAGTTCAGTTTCGCCTTCAGAAGGTTGTTTTCCTCTAGTTTTTACGCATCGCCTCTCTTTTCGAACCGCTACTCGCGACGGAAATTTTCGTAGAATGAATGCGAGTGCCTTGAGAGGTAGGCAACGTGCTCGACAATCGTGCAAAGTGGCGCAGCGTGCACACGGGCGTAGAAGAGAGATCAAATGTTCAAAATTGGCACTGTGCACAATATTTTTTCATAAGTATCCAAAAATCATCAAATGAAACTTTACGAATTTGAGAAGGATTGTAAATCAACAAAAATTAAACTTAATTGTGCTGCATATGCTAGAATTATGAACTCTACTGCAAATATAAATATCTAAATTAAATTACACTTTAAAATATAATTCGAATTTTATTTATTTATTTTTTTTATGGTAATTTGAATTTAAATTCGGCTTTTCCTCAATGGGATTTTGCTAGTGTTTTATTGTTTAAGAGAAAAACACAAAAACCCATCGAGGAGAAACCAAATGTAAATTCAAATCACCTTGAATCTGTCGTGATCTTCTGCTACAAAATTATCTTTTAAAATAATTTAAAATACCGTAAAATGCATACAAATATTAAACTTAATGTAAATCTGTAAAATTTATATAAATAAATATTTTAATGATCAACATTATATTTTAAATGAAATATCTAATAATTTGAAAAATTGAAACCGGGCGAACCTCGTTGCAAAGAAAAAATGAAAAAATATAAAGGACAACTGACCCCAAAGGCGACCTGCGGTCTGCTGGTACTTTAAAACCTAGGGTTTCTTGTGTCCGACTAAACCTAAGTGGGAGGAATTAAAAAATTAAAAATTAATTAAAATTAATTAGTTGTTAACATTTATTAACTTTTTTAATAGAATACTGTATAAAATCCAATGAAAATATTATATATTCATAATATTAATTTACAAAAAAAACGAGCTAATTTTAATTAAAATGGTGGCGCGTTTTTTAAATAAAGGGGCCTTTGACGCGAAAACATTTTGAACAATTTATTATGTAATTTATTTAAATATTAATACAAGCTCAAGAATTACATGCAACATGCAGGAGGTCAAGAGTTCAAAACGTCAAAGGGGATTTATTCAGTCATTCAGTGGAAGATAGCAGAAGATAAGTAATTTCAAAAGCTATTTAATGTTGGGAAACTAATTATGAAAAGTGGAAATTATTTTTCTTTTCGTCAAAATAAGAGCTCTCTGGTGATAAAATTTTTTTTAAAAATTTGGAAAAATTAAAATATCAAATAATGGTTCATTAATTTTCATACAGTTGAAAAACGTCGAGGAAATAATTTTTTCCAGTAATTTTCACCCCTAATTTTTCCATCATTTAAAAAACCAAACATATAATATCCTTGAAAAATTAATGAAATCAAAAAACTGCCATTATTTCAACAAATTTTGCTTTGTGGGGGATGAAACCATGCAGTCAGGGTGGCATCCTTCTTACTGATGAATTGTGTGCCAAACGGAGAAAAGTCCAGTCACACATAATAATTATTATGCCCATCGATCAAGGTGCTCCAGACTCCCGAGGGCTAGAGGTAGCTCTTTTTCGTCTTTCGGCCAAGCACTTGATCGCGTACAATACAATGAGAATAACAAACTGCAAAAAAATTCATTATTTAATATTTTGTACATTTAGAAGTTAGAAGTATTTGTTTTTTAGATAATAATAGGGATATTTTAAATGAGAGGCATGGAAATAAAATTATAAACAACTGTTTTTATTACATTATATATTATGATCTCATACACAACATTTAAAAAGAAAGTAGATATATGAAGTAATTATGTGACACATTGTTGAGAAGTCATGAATAGGCGAGAAGAAACATTTAATTTGTTGTAATTATTTGAAATTGTGATAGACACACACTTAGCTAGTTATATTTCTTTGTACAGTAGTCAACCTTTAAAATTTTATATTGAGCAAAAACATAATGGGTCGAGGAATCCATAATCTATCGGCAGAATTTCAACAGAATAAAGTGGCAAAAAAAATTTTGGCAAATGAGATCAAACAATGTGAAACCCATTTCACACGAGAAAAATTAAATGTCAAAAATGTTCTTTTTCTTTTCTTAAAATTCTCTTTCACTTCCTGGCATTCAGCCACTGTTTTGACACAGATTTTATCAGCAATGTTATTGTGTTAATATGTACAGTCAAAGTCTTTGTAACTTACAAGCATAGTATATATATTTACAAAGGCTATTGCACAAAAGCTCTCTTTTGAAAATGAACACAAATATAATAAGAAACGAATCATGTTGCTCACAACAGCCTCAATTTTTCAAGAGAGCACATCCAGCTTGGTTTAGAGTTCAAATGCCTAATTCACTACATTTGACTTAGCAACATGACAAATCAGGTGAGCAGCTCTGCCTTTTTATTACTCATTGTACACTTGCAGAACTTTCAGCGAGGACAAATACCTCTCAAAGTCTCCGACTCTTTGCCATTTTTGATTGGCCACACAATTAGTTTAAGTTCACTTCATCTACTAAAACGTAGATTGCTTAGGGACGCAGTGTCTGTTTGTCACAAAGTGGGCTTCACTGACCAGGAGTGAGCGCAGAGGGGCTGCAGTCTTTTAAACGATGATTTCTCGGATAACTCGCCGGCTACGAGAGTTCGGTGTGCTGTAGCCGCTCTCCAGGGACTCGTCGAAGGACAGAGCCAAATGCTGAGTCTTGTTTTCATCGCCATCTACCTGGTGCTCACCGTATGGATCAGGCAATCCACTCACATCATGGTAGGGAGAATCTGCAGACAAAAATGAAAAATAGGTTTTTAAATCATTTAAAAAAATAGTTCCATTAAACCATGCAAATAAATTAAAATTGGACAAAAGTGAGTGTTTAAAATTTGAAATTTTTTGATAAGAGATGGGAAATCAACGTACCCATATGATCCACCCTTTTCTTTGGCTTCAGCACATTGCCATAAGCGTCAGTGGCCACATAGTTGTTCCTCTGGTTCAGATAATCGTCCTGCACTGGTGGGTAATGTCCATAGTCGTCCATTCCTCCATAGCTGTGGCCGTCATAAGGGGTGTACTGGCGAGATTGGGTTTGCTGGATTTCTCCTCCGCCATTCTTCGCTTGCCACAGTGAGTCCTGGGAGTTTACAGAGCCACCGTTGTTTGAGTTGGAGTAGCTGTTGTCAATGTAGGGCATATTCATTCCTAGGATTAAGAAATTTGTCAGGTCATACATTATAAACATTTTTTTTATTTACCTCCACTGATGTGGCCGTTGGGAGGGTTAGCGTGATAGCTGTAACCGTTGGGATGAGGGGCAGTTCCGTAGACTGAGTTCTTTGCGGGGTCATCGAGTCCCAGGTCAAGTGAGTGCTCGAGGGCCTTGTTTTCCATTCCGCTGGGGTAGTAAGGAGGAGGAGCCTGTTGAGTCACAATGCTGGGACGAGATCTACATAAGAGGAAATGATACGTTAAAAATCATCTGCAATTTTATTAATTTTTAAAAAAGTTCGGATATTGCAAAAAATTGATAAAATAAAATTTGAACAGAAACTTACGTCGAGTTGTCCAACTCGTGGTCCTTCTTGACCTTCTTCTGGGTGCGCTTGCACTTGCAGAAGATGAAAATCATTGCAACCAGCAGGATGAAAACGACGACTGAAACCACAATAGCAACCAGGGTAGGGGTGGCCAGAGCTGCAGCACTGTTGATGTACATTGGCCCAACTAAAAGTAAATTAAATTATTAATGTGACCTTTCGATATATATTTTTTGCTCAATTTCTTACTCTCAGCTTTGACGTACGCTCCACACATGGCGTCAGGTTGTTGCAGACAAAGGCGCACCCTGACGTACTCTTCGTACTCCAGGCTGGCGGAATTTATGGCATCGGCCAAAGTGGAAACCGGAACAGGGGAAGCCAGAGGGACTTGCAGCTCCTTGTGAGACACACCGCCGACAGGCAGACGGTTGAAGGTGCGCCATTCGCCGTCCTCATCCCTCAGCTCGACTTGAGCCACCAACTGCAGGCAGCTACTGGCCAGGTTGATGGCCACTTGCCCTGTGCTGGGGTCGTAGGTCACTCTCTGGGGAACGGGGAAACCATCGAGCTGGGTGGTGGCAGTCACTTCCTCAGAATAATCACTTGAACCCATTGTGTTTATAGATTTGACCTGTGACAAAAAAGGAAGTTTATTATTATTTTGTTCAATAATAATATTGACAAAAATGAATAATCAAATAAAATATGGCCGAATTAAAACAGCTTGGGCCTATTGAGGGTAAAATTAATAAATGGAAACTGACCTTGAAAAGGTAAGTGTAATGAGGCTCAAGGGAGGTGACATTGCAGGTGCTGTTCCTCTGGCAGTCGAACTCGCGTCCCTCTCTAGGGTCACCTCTGGCGCTGAACGAGTCGCAACCAGGCAGTTGGTCAGGGGCGCCAATTCTACGATAGGAGACGAAGTACTTGGTGTCCATGAGTCCTCCATCGAAGCCAGGGTCCCACTGCAGAGTGACCGAGTTGTGGGTGGAGGCGACGGCAATCAACGAGTTAGGTTTCTCAGGCTGGCCCTTGGGCTGCAGTTTCAGATTGGTCTCCAGCATGCCCATGGCGTTCCTGGCGGTGCACAAGTACTCGCCGTAGTCCAGATCGCTGATGCTGCTGATGACTAGGATGCTCTTGAACATATCCTCGGACAGAACGGTGGCGTTCACGTCGTAATGCTCGCCCATGCCAGTCAAAAGCCTCTTGCCGTTGAAACTCCACTCAAAATCGGGCCTAGGGAAGGCCTTCACGGCGCAAGTTACCTTGGCGTTTTCCTGCAGATCGTAAGCCACCTTATCGTATTGGTGCATCTTGATTGGCTCATCTAATTATGAGAAAATAAATATTTTTATATTTGATGACAAAAAAATTTATTTTTAAACTTACGTTCCACTCTGAGTTGCATGGTGCTTTCGGTCTGCTTGACGGAGTTGAAGAACACACATGAGTACTGGCCACGGTCAGATGGGACAATCTGGCTGCCACCTGGTCTGCTCTTGCCCGAAAATCTAAGTGTGCTCTGGACTGTACCAACGCCAGCAGTGTTTTCACTCTCGTCAGTAAGGATGTCGTACATCAGTCCGGGCAGAATTTCATCTCCATCCTTCAGCCACCTGATGCTGGGCTTGGGTTTGCCCTGAGCGCCGCAAGTTATTTCAAAGTCTTTGTCTCCAGCTCTGTTGAGAAATGAAAATTTATTTAATAAAAACATATTTCAATTAGGATAGTAATTATTATATATTTTTTTTTTATAAAAATGAAACTTACTTTTTGGTTTTCTGAGATGGGATCTTGGCAATGAACCTGGGGGCCTGGTGCACCTGGAGTTGGACGGAGGCGGATGGACCGTGTCCCATGTCATTGGTGGCTTGGCAGTGGTAGGTGCCCTCGGTGTTGAGATGGGCAGAGTTGATGGCGTATCTGGCGCCAGTGGCGATGGCGGCCTCAGAGTTGTCCTTCCACCAACGGAACTGCGGCGCCGGCCATCCAGAGGGCGTCGCCTCGCAGGTCAGAATGATCGAACTGCCCTCAGTGGCAATTGGTTTGTCCGGGGAGATCTTAGCCTGTCCAGGCTTGTGCCTGACGCGCAGAGAAAGTGAAGCGTTGCCTACCCTTTCAAATTCCTGTCCGTTGGAGTTGACCAGGTTGATGGCGCGGCACATGTAGGTGCCAGCAGAGTCTGCAGTGATTCTGTGCAGACTGAGGATGCTGCCGCTTTGCCTGAAGTCAGGGCGGTCAGGGCGAATCCACTCAACACTGATGGGCGCCGGGTTGGCGGAAACATTGCAGTGGACCCTGATGCTCTCTCCCTCCTCGGCCTCCTTCCTTGGCTCAACGGCCACAAGAGGGGGGTACAAAACGTCCAGTTGAAGCTCAGCCTCACCTGGTCGGCCAAGTCCGTTGTCGGCGGTGCAGACGTAGCTGCCTGCATCCTGAAGGGCAACCCTGGGGAGCGAGTGGGAGAAAGAGGTGGCGATGAAACGGCCGCCACGGGTCCAGCGGACATTGCTGACTGCAGGTTTGGCGTCCACGCTGCATTTCAGGGTGGCAGTGGCATCCTTCTCCACTCGGAGGGGATTTTCAGGTCCAACAGTAACTCGAGGGAAGTCTGAAAGTTGAAATAAAATTTTCATTTAAAAACTAATAAAAGCGGCGACTTCAAAAGTTCTCTAAATTATTTATTTTATTTATATAAAAGAAAACTTATGATTGAAAAATTATTTTAGAAAATTATTTTATGTATTAAAAGTTTAGTTTAACTTACAATTAACATTCAGGGTGACAGTGGTCTCCAGTTTCTGTCCCTCAGGCATGGCCCTATTCCAAACAACGCAGCGGTAAACGGCACCATCATCCTGTTTCTGAGGGGTGAGGCTGAGAATTGCAGACGTTGGCTGGTTTCTCGAGTGTCCAGGTTTGGGAACAGATTCGAGGGGGTAGCTGAGGCCGTCCTTGTACCACCTGATGATAGGGTCAGGGCTGCCGCCCATGCTGGAGCAAGTGAGTTCCAAGGGCTTGCCTTCGGTGGCGGTGGGAGAGGCAGGAGTCACGCGAGGAGGACCAGGAGGAGTCAGAACGGTGACTTGGACCTTTTGCGAGTGAAGTTCTTGTCCTGAGCCGGTGGCCAAAACTTTGCATTCAAATTCGCCATTGTCACGGTCATAGCTGGCGTTAGAGATGAGCAGGTCGTATCTGCCCATTTGAGGACGGTAATCCAGTCTGGAAATTATTATTATTTTAATATTATTTTTCTGAGTTGTATTATGACTAAATTATTATATTAAATTGACAATTACTTCGTGCCCCTTTTACAAATTCTTTTAATTATGTGGCACCGCAGCAACTTTTTAAAATTGACTTTGCTCACAAATGCAGCTCTTAGCTGTCACGATATGATGGAGTCAATAATTACCGCCGAGTAATTACATATGTGCCGTTTCCCCAGCCCCAGAGAGCTACTTCAATTTTTTCCTCTCTCCTCCTCATCTAACCCAAGGCCTTGGCAACATGAGAAATGGTTATTGCTGCGGTTAAAAAAGGGACGCTTCACGTTTCTCCTGCGATGCAGGGGGAGAGGGTCGTCTTTTACCTCCCAACCACCGCCGACAGCACCACATGCAATAATACGGCCCAACTCCACCTCAAAACTACCAAACCCTCGTCATCTAAATTTTAGCCGGGGAAAAATTATATAAATTATTTCTGCCTGTCGACGTACCTGTAATTTCTGTCCAAAGAACGATCCTGGACGACGACGTTGTCCACCTTTCTGGTTGTGCGTTGCCAAAAGAGGGTCGGGTCCTGGTTTGTGAGTTGCGGCGAAAAACGGCACTCTAGAGTGATGTCTTCGCCTTCCCTGGTGTCTGACATCTCGACGGCATAGGTCGCGCCCATCAATGCTGGAACAATAAAGCACCTTGTTAGACACAAACGAATCTCAAATATTTACCACGCAGATGCTAATGAAATGGGCCGAAAGGATGTTTGAGAGAAACATCTTTGAAGGAGGAAAGAGGAGAAACAAAGCGAGAGTGACTTTAATGCTGGGTTTTCCTCTCATTCCGAGAAGGAGGCTATGCAAGGGCGATTCATAATTTGATCCAGGATAGAAACTCAATGCTCATTTTGTGCAACGTGCATTTAGAAATATCGCCCGCAAGCTGCGAGGCTCAATTTCACGGGCGCACTAGGCGCTTCCTATTCGCATCGCGACACTTGAAATATTTATATTTATTCAAATCTGTGCAGTCGAAATTCGAATTCCTCGATTTATGAATTTCGTTCTGCAAACGCGCCGTGTTTCCGCCGCACTTTTGTGAATTTGTGCTGCTTAGGAAAAGCGACGTTTCATTAGACGCACCTTTTCACTACCTGCGTGCTTTAGAAATTTTCGGCACAAAGTGTTCTGCAGCCCGTGAAATGCGTCTTTTTAAAGAGAGATAGACCCCTGCCACTTTTGGGGCCCATATTATATATCCACCGCCGCCACCGATGCGACTGTTTCTTTCCTAAAAAGCCCCCTTCTTGTTATTTGCCCGCGCTCTGTCCGCGTGGTAATAATACTTTGGGTAAATTCAACCGAAAATAAGTAGGTGCTGCACTCCAGAGGGAGGGAAAATGAATACGTTCGGTGGGGTGCTTGTCATTTTTAAACCCAAAGCAAACTTTTCCAGGAGAGGATTTTATTTTTTTACTCAGTTGATCTCAAAGAAGAAAACAAGCAGTCTGGAAAGAAAGAGTAAACAGCGCGTCGTGATGCTTTTTTGCGTCTAAAATTATGGGAGAACCACAAGAATTTCTTTGCTTTGCTGTTTGATAAATTGCCTCTCGGCCGCTTTTTGTCCGAAATGACGAAAGGCAACAACCACACGCATCATTACAGTGATATTTATTGTTTCCTCTGGAGCGCAATTATGAATCACGACGAGGCGCAGGAAACACGAGGAGTCGTTTTATCTTATTACTTATTAACCAACAAAGAAACGAAACAGCCTTGATGAGTTTGTCAAAAGAGACTTTTTAACCCTTTTTCGTCGTTGTTCTGACGGAAAACGTGAGTTGAGGCGCGATAAATTAGATTTGGTCAGGCAGATGTTGAAATGAAGTGCAGCGTAATCGCCGCAAGATGCAGCAGCGTTCTTTTATTTTTGATCCTCGAACACATCAGACATGTTCTTTGGAGCGAGCACATTATTGTGAGCGTGTGTGGAGCGCACGAAACCTTATCGTTGGTAAACTGCATAGAAATTATGTAAAAAAAAATCAAACAACAAAAGGGGCTGCTTTATTTGTGACGGTCCAACCGCTCTCTTTCTCTGTTTCGCTCCAAGATTAAATAAAAATAAAACGGGCGGTGAAATTACATTCGCTCGCCACATTCGTCTCGCCTGCAATTGTTGTTTGATTTTCAAGCAGCCTCGCTGCACCAATTGTTACTGAAACGAGAGTGCACGAAAAAAATGCTTAGTTTCCCTCAATGAGAAGTGAGAGGACTTTTTTCTTTTAAAATAATTTTCATTCAAGGCTTTTGGGGGAAAAAAATAAACGGACGCGCATTTCGCACGTTAAAACATACAAATGAAGCATTGTCTCCGCAGCCAGAGGCCACTCGGACGGAGCAATAAATTTCCCTACGGCTCTTTGTCACGTCCAGTGCACACAATGCGAGCGGTAGGAGGTGGAAATTTGTTTGGAAGTCACTTCCCCGCTGGTTTCCTCCGCCTCCACCTTTGACTTATTGAATCGGCCGAGGGGTCAGATGCACTCGATTCTCCACGCTTCGACCGCAGCCTGCGCGCTGATCACAAAGGACATTTGATTTTTCATCTTTTGCTGTCAGAACGGCAACCGAAAATGCAGTTCGGCAACAATAACGGCCAATAATGGATCCGGCCAGATAGAAAAGTGAAATCATTGGCCGCATTGTGGAACAGGTGATAAATTTCAAGGAGGAAAAAAAAAGAGACGTGCCATCTGCTTTGCGCTGCGTGAGAAGCAGGAAAAGAACTGGAGGACTTTTGGAAACAAGTCAAGTGTCCTCTTGAGGAGACAAATTAATGGTCGCCGACCAACGCCCATAGCTCTCTCGAGTTTACTGGAGCTCGATTTCTCACTCGAATGGATTGGCCCAATAAATTAGCAGACAATGCAGCGTGCGGTTGGAAAAATGGCAGACCGCAGAGTGAGGTGTCGGATTTTGGAGAGAGAGAGCGTCCTATCGATATATTAAATGATTTCATGGTGTAAATTTGATGGGAAGAGTGGCCGTGGCGTATGAAGACGTCGTCGGCCGGCTAGGATGAAAAAAGTGTGTGTTTTCTCATGATCGAGGTTCCCATGGCTAAAGAGAGGATACTTTATAACAAGAGCAACCGCACAAGTACAAACAGACTTGGGTGTCGCGCGCTTTGGTATATAACGGAGAGACCTTAACGGTGGATCGCGTCCAGCAATCGCAGAATAATTGAATCCAAAGAAATAAATTGGTTCAAGGCGCGACGGAATGCCTTAAACGGCGGGGCGTGTGCCAAAAAATAACACAAGAGAGTGATTGTGATTTAATCAGAGCGATCACCTCTGACCCTTTTTGATCGTTACTGCTGCGCTTAATAATTTATTGTTGCGAGAACGAGCTGCTGCAAGCGATTTGGGTCAGTTGGTACAGAAGTGCATTTGTTTACTTATTTATTTCACTTTCCAGAGTGGCCTTCGTGTAGATAGCAGCCAAAAGAGTGACTTGGTGGAATTTTCGAATCCGTTCGGATGCAGAAATAAATGGAGAAAGTTCAAGTCGACAGTAGAAGGCGTGCTTCAAGTAAAAAAATGAAATAATTTGTCCACAGGCGGTTTGTTTTTCACGCCGAGAGAAGAATATGAAAATATCATCTGGCGTTTTGTTGATTCTGCTGTTAGTTGCGGAAAGGAAAATCGAGACGCTCACTTTTTTCGGCCTGACGAAACGGGCAGTCACGATTATTGTGGCTAATAATTTTGGAGAGCGAACCGTCTGTGCAGCAACAAGTGGCGAATTGAAGATCGCCTGACCGGATGTCTGCTGCCGTAGATGATAATCGCACTTGATATTAAATGATAATAATTTCACCGCAGGAAGGAGTATAATTTTTTTCTCTAAAGACGGGCACCTGTCTTAAAATGACGAATTCATTTTAAATTTAATTTGGGAAACAGGAAACCATTTTGTCATTAGACATTTAAGTTGACACTGGGCCGGCGCGTGAATTAATCTGCAATTCGGGAATGGCTTTCGATTCCCACGCTTGAATCGTGTGCTTAAGAAATGGGTGCACTTTTCTTTTTATGTTCTCCAGTATATAATGCTAAAACCGGCTAATACGCTGGAAGTGAATCATTTTTAATTGAAAATAACGAACGGCGGAATTTCTCTCTGTTGAGAGATGTAATGGCCTCGTTTCACCGCCGGTCCGACGAGAGAGCGAGATGCAACAGCAAGCAACATTATTTCAAGCTGGACTGGCTGATTAGGAGTTGCTATCGCTCTACTTTGGTTTCTCCGTTCGATCGTTTTCGGTGGCGGCGATAAATTATGGTTTCGTCAGCGCAGGCTGATTTTGGCTGTTTTCTTTGTAACATTCGACACCGGCCATTGCGGTCTGCCTCTGTTTTGGGTGATAATAAATATATCCAAAATGGGAACACCTGCATCAAACTTTTATAGCTGCCGCCGCCGGGACAGCCAGCGAGTAACGGGACCGCAATTATAAATTTACATCGCGCGACTCCTTCCGAGAATTGAATTTATACACCTATATCAGCTGCAGTACTTTCCTCCTCCTTTCTACTGCACAATGCAATTGATACCCGACACGGTTAGGGTGTGACTCGCGATGGAAAAAAGTACATAAAAGACAATCAGCAGCCCCTTCTAGCGAAAATTCTCCGCTCTTTTCAACTCTCACGAGAGAGCCGCCTGCATTGATAAATTGCCGTCTCCTAGCTCGCCGACAAAAACCGCCCTAATCAACTCACTTTCTGGAGGGCGCCCTTAAGTGATTATCCCATCCTGCTGCAGCAGCAAGTGAGACGTGATCACTCTTTCGCCGCTGCTAAATGTTGGCTCATTACGACTTAGTTTTTTTCTTCGCACAGAATTCAAATGGCGCCGCAGCGAGAATTGAATTTCAAAAGTCGGGGCGTTTTCCGCACTTTTGATGCTGGATGCGGGGATTTGGGACCACCCCACACGCACAATTGTGTGCCGTGTTTCGCTTGATGAGATGCTGCCGGATTACCATTCATTAAACGCTCGCAGGGAGGGGAATGAATCTTCTCTAGCTCTGGTGGAGCAGAATTATTATTATTTCGGCTTTGTCCCCTTTGAATGAGCTCTCTTACCTACCACGTGCGCACATGCAAACGGAATTTTAAATTAGATTAGTTAATCAAGAGCTGCTTTTGATGAAAAACGCTCCACTGCATCCGTAATAAGCTCGAATTAAGCACCCGAAGATTTGTCAGGTGTGCAAAGGGGAGAGGCACCGGAAGAGGTTTTTAATTCCGAGTGCAAATGAAATGAAAACATTTATACAAATTAAATAATTTCTCAGGCAGTTTCATCGATTCTTTTCCTTGGCCTGCGTTTCGTGCCAAAAAGCAGACGTTTGCCCATTTCTCCTCAGCGTCGCAACAACAATCGTAAAATGAAACTTGACACTTGACTGTGCAAGGGGAATAACTCTTGGGCGGAAAAAAAATTATGATATTTGTTTGCCAAGCATCTGACACACTTCCAACAATAAATTGTGATGAATGAATGAAGAGTGCGGCGAAAAATAATATATTCAAATGCGGCGAGTTATAGCGCGAGGCCCCCGAGTCGAAAGAGAGGGCAACCGAGTTCTTTGACCTTCCCCGCCATCTT